ACCCTAGCCCCCAATGCGTACAGTCATGGTTCAGTGACAAAGCAATGGCCTCGTAACTGTGAGGCCCCAGGATCAAAACCGTGTCGATGTGCTATATTAGTGCCCTTTTGTGGGGCATTAATCCTCATTACTGTCATTTATGACTTAAGGGCATAGGTCCCCTAGTTGATAAGCAAAGTAGCATACACATGCTTTAGCAGTCACGCAAAACACACATTGGCAAATTATTATTCAATAAAATCTGAGAAAGTATGCTATTATCTAGATCTATTATTTTAAAATTATCTTTAAAATAATTCCATTAATTGGGATTTTAAAAAAAATATTCCACCTTTATGAGCGACAGTGTAGTAACAAAATTAGAAGTAACAAAAATGTGATAAGGAAATGACGAGTTTCATCACAGAAACGAGTCAAACGCCCCTTTTGTTTGTAAATTGTAAAGTAACACCACCATCGTAAAATACAAAAAAAAAAAGGCTTTCACTTAATACCCCGCTCATAAAACACACTGTTGGTCATAAAGGCGGAATATTTTTTTAACACAATTTATGGAATGATTTTGACGATGATTTATTCCTAATAGATAATAGTTTACATTCTCAGATTGTACTGAATAATAATTTGCGAGTGTTTGTTTTGCGTGACTGATTAGGCATGTGTATGATACTATGCTTATCAACTAGGGGACCTACGTCCTTAAAAGGAGCGTAGACTGACGAGACTACATGTCTTTCCCGTGGCCTGACTCGGTGCCAATCGGCTATAGTACGACTACGGACGACGCGACCGCAGCAATCTGGTGCGTGCAGCATACGCGAAACCGAAGCATGAGGGGAACTTCGTTCTATTTCGTTCTTCTAAAGAAGACGTAGATGGCGTTATCCAGTATTTGCCATGTTACACTCCTTTTTAATCATACATATTGCTCCGGTTGTCTCATTTCCGCTCGCTGTACGTATATAGCAGACGGCAATCGGCGGATTAGACGACACTTGGTAGTGAATTTGTATGTGAGATTGCTTTGCTAAATATAAAATACAAGAACATTTTCCATATCTGAAAACTTCATTGATATCTGATAATTAAACAGTTATTAAAATAAACCTACCAAACTAAATAATACAATGAAATACTTGACTCAAAGTAGGGGAGTTTGATGTGCTGCACAATTGTACCCCTCTGTAAATAATCGAATAGTCCATGGCGATCATGAATATTCATGTTTTTCCTTACCTCGGCAAAATGCTTGCCTATACTAAATGGACAAATTACGGTGGGGGGGGGGGGGGGGGTTGCTGAAATGGACATAATGAACCGATCAGAACTGATCTATGATAATTCATGCTTGTTATCCTTCGTGTACTTGACCTATAACCTTGCAATCGCTTGGAAAATTGCGTCCAAAGTTCGACTTGTTTCACATGTGTTTTATAGGCAATGGAGATCTAGCGACCTATTTTGACCAAATTACGGTGGGGGAACTTTCAAAAGTCAATAGGACATGAGGGTTCCAATGAAAGAGCTAGTGTCAACGTACGTCGGGGTGGATGTGCTTTACTTTTCGTTTAAACAAAAAACAGCCTAACATGTTAGGCTGCTGGACTCCGACGATAGGGAATGAAAGTAAGTATTCTGAAAAATAAGATGTATTCCTGCCCTTTGATGTACACAATTCCTTACGAAAATGTACAAGAGCTATATAAATAAAGATATTCTTGGCATGATGTTATGCCTTTTGGCATAACATGGGCGCTGCCATTTTCCTGGAAATGTGACGACCAGTTGAAGTTGTATTTGTATCATGCACCAAGCTTTCGTTTTAATCAATAACAAAACCTTTACTTTTCAACGAGTACAAAATATATTTGGTGACAAATTATAACAGGGGAACAATTAATTAATGGGCAAGAATATAATACATCTCTTAGAATATGTAAAGTTATTTCTAGGGGTGAGGTTTCCTTTGAGCCCACTGTTAATACAAAGAATTTAAAGAAAACATCATATTTGGAGGACACATAGTACTATATTTAGCATAAAATTGTCGGAAGTTTGTAGGTTTCCCAATTACTCTTTTTACCAAGGATTTAATTTTGAGAGTGTATACATACTACTTATATTCAATTGCTAGTACTGCTATGACTACCCCATAGACATTGGAAGTCTACTATGAATTATTTGCTGTTATAAGCATAAGACTGAATAGATGTGTCGTAATCGAGTGGTTTAATCACTTGACTGGAAATACATAGGTCGTCGGTTTGAGCCCCGGCACAGCACTTACGTTCTTGAACATAACAATGTATCTACATTGCTCCTGTCATAACATCATTGCAATTGGATTAGTATGTGCGCGCCTGTATAAAGGCGACCAGCTAGAATACTCGACAGGGAGTGGATAATGTGCATTATAATGTACAGAATAGAATTTGAATTCAGTGACCACTAACAAACGGAATCATTTCTCCTTCATAAAATGTTATAGAAAAGAAATACTTTGTATTAACCTCCTTCAGTGATTATAAAGAGAAATATTGATTGAATACAAGGAAGAAAACGAAGAAAGAAAAATGAATGTCCATCCGTAGTTTGAAGAAGATTGTTGGACAAAGAAAATTATGTTCGAATGCAAGAGCTACTATTTATGCTATGGTCGCAACCCGCTGAGCATCTTTCTGCAGGTTCGTATACGCAGCTGCGACCGGCTGGTAGGCCAACTTGTACGATTCGCACGTCCTTCTTACGATCCCTCTTGGGCGCATTGCACCCGCCTCAAAACATACTACCCTCTTCCCTCTCTCCTTGCAGGTGCCTTGCAACTGCCGTGCGATGTCTTATTGCTCTGTATAGCTGTGTACTGTTTCGTGCGGCTATGTAGACCGCCGCAATTAAGTAGCCCGTGTGATGCTCGCAAGAAGCCCTTGCGGAGTTCCCAAAACAGCAATAGCACAACAGCTACACTTGTCAATTGCGTTCATCAAATACGTAGACACACGCAGAGATTATTGGCCATGTCGAAAAACCTCCTACAGGCGATCGTGTGTTCTGGTTGCCTTAAAATACGTGCAGACCCGTGTGTGTAACGCAACGATCCGTCGTAGAGCAGACGCAGAGAGGTACACGGCCGGTTGTGAACATGGCTTGTATCAAGACCTAAAAACAGTGAGGGTGCATGATTACACATTGATGTATCGGAATTCCTTATTTTGGAAGGGATACTCAAAAAAGCCTATAGTCATCGATAACCGTTTACTTAAAGGGATAGGTAGCCAGTTTTAATGTGCAGAAGGTCATAATTCGCTGACAAAAGACCTGGTGGGAATACCATACATGCTTGCACAAATCTGCAAACAGCAAACCCGTAGTCCTATCAAGCAATACCCCCTAGTCTCCCAGAGAGTCTTCGGGGGGGGGGGGGGTGTAAGATAACGAATTTACCATGCAAGAAAATGGGTGAAAGTACAGAACATTATTTAAAGGCATGTTGGTCATAATACTGAAGGCTGATCCTTCTGATTAACAACACCCGAACGATGTCCCCATGCGAATCCACTACCAAGCGTCTTTAATGCTCTTTACCTTTGCCATTCATCAACAACCCTCTATCTCCCAAATAACAGAAATATGGATTACATCAAAGATACACACACACCCAACACATTTCCAACAAAATTGATGTGGTCTGCTGGCAAGTGAAGATAACCAGTGTAACCATGGTAAGTGCTAACTACTATTGCATCTCTTTAGTACCCTTGATTTTGGAAACACCTGAAGGTACCTCAATTCGATTTAATTCAATTCTAAAATTAACAGTTTACCTGAAAATGATAATCAAATTGGTAGTAAACCATACACACGCTAGATGCACCGACTGTCGGGTGATTCCTCTTCGATCGTCTCCAGGAAATTGTGATAAAAATAAATTTAGAAATATGAAATGATTAAATATAGCTTCAGCTATTTTAATAAATACAAAAAATCAGATAGTCTACACTACGGAATGATTCCCATAGATTTGCTTGACAGTACCTCCCGTTGTCGCACCTTCAACCGGATATAGAATATATTTTGGTTCATATTACCGTACATGTATTTCGTTATCACAAATCGAGGCATATGGGCAGAAGTGCCTTTAGCACACGAGACTGACATTGTGACAACTTTTCAACTGTGACAACTCTGACGGTACTCTAGACCGACGGTCCCCGATACCGACAGCCCACGAAACCGACATTTATCTATCTTTTATTATGTATTTCTTTGGTTTGTCGGTCATGTGGCCCGTAGGTTCGGTGAACCTTTTGTAAATGCCGGTCTCATGGGCTTTGGGTCTCTTTTGCTGTCGATCGGACCACTGGGAGGACTCTCAAAAAGGCCTTGTTATGATGCTTTGATATTTTGAATAATTACAAAACACATTTAGGTTCCAAATGTTATTCTTTCCCTGATACAAAATCCCTAACACGATATATTTAATCTTCATCGAGCGGTTTGTTAATTAATAACACATCGACAAATTGACACTCGCGGCAGGCTGTGCTAGGATGCCACCTAGGCAAATATGATTTTCGGATCCGATGGCTAACCCTAAGAAGCTTTTGTGGGAAGTAGATAAATACATCATGTACATAAGAGGAAACCGAAGGAGGTAAAAGGCTCCCCCCCCCCCTTTTTTGTGTTTTTTTTTTTGGTTTTTGTTTGTTGTGTGTGCATCTACAAGGTAAACAGGATTTGTGCGGCCTATCCTTGCATCAGTCCCCTCTGTTTAAAAATCATACTTGGATGTCCATTACGAAAAAGAGTTCCTTTGTTTAACGCTGAAGACATAGAATGAGGTACACAGAATATTACCTGTTTAGGTGATAAAGACAACGTACACATTGCGATTACGTAAATCAACTTGGCAATATTGACAGATTAACTTTTGTCTTTAATTGAGATGTGTTTTTATCGGGATATTTCATCAGGCCTATGTTTAGCTAAACACGGGAAGGGCTTCTTACAAACGCCGTATCGGTCCTAAAGCTCTACGGTATAAATACAAGCGTGATTGTCTAGGTCTGATCAGATATCTTTGAAACCCACCAGGATCTTTTCTACTTTGCGGCAGGTGAGTTAGAGCAATTCTTTCTTTCAAGAATATATGATTTGGTAGCATTCTTTTCTTGTCTGATGTAGGAAGTAAGGAAAGTCATTCGTAATTAAAAATATTGAGCACAGACCGTTACAATTATACTCTTTCGGAAATTGATATTTGAAGGCATAGGCGCCGGAAGTGGGGGGGCAGGGGGGGGCAGTTGCCCCCCCCAGTCAAAAAAGTGGGGGGGCAAAACGCATTTTTGCCCCCCCAAAACGCCCCCCCCCCTCCAAAAAAAAAAAAAAAGCAGTAAAGGAATAAACATGGTTTGTATTTTTAACCCAAAAGAACATAACAATAATAAAAACCTGAATTAAAGCACATATACCATTCCATTCAAAGAAAAGGTAAGTTCACAGGAATTAAATTTTTATAAACATTGCGCATGCTACCTATACGGTTTATAATAGCGATACGCGCATATCGTGGACATATTGTGCGAGAATGGGAAAACGTGTCTGTTTTTTTTGTTTTGTTATAGGGGTGAGAAGACATGAGCCCCTGAACGCTGGCGTACTGATGGGGGGGGGGGGGGGGTATATCTATACGATACCAGTGATTTACACATGTTGCTGTTATGACATGATTTTCCGGTATTTTTTCTCCATTTTTTTTTAAGTCATACCTTTTTATGCGTTTGTTGGAAAATAAGAAATTCCCAAATTACAGTCGGGCGAAAAATACGCTTATTTAGAAGCCTTTATGACATGGTCTGCAAAGTGGCTGGGCTCGAGCCCCTCCCCCCTCACTTTTTGAAAAAGTATGTTAAAGAGAAAAAGAAAGAAAGACGGAGAGAAAAAATAAGTGACCTGCCAATGTCACAAATAAGGCATAAAAAATGCTCATCTGACCGTAATTAAATGCCTAAAACCCCAGAGCTTACGGGTGCTCCGCCCCCGGACCCCACCAAGGGCCCTAAGGCGGGCCCCTGGATGCTCATCTGACCGTAATTAAATACCTAAAACCCCTGAGCTTCCGGGGGCTCTGCCCCCTGGACCCCACCAAGGGCCCTATAAGGCGGGCCCCTGGATGCTCATCTGACCATTATTAAATACCTAAAACCCCTGAGCTTCCGGGGGCCCTGCCCCCTGGACCCCACCAAGTGCCCTAGGGCGGCCCCTGGTTGCTCATCTGACCGTAGTTAAATATTAAAACCTCTGAGCTTCTGGGGGCTCCCCCCCCCCCCCCTCTGGAACACGTCAATGGCCTTAAAGAGGCCCCTGGATGCTCATCTAACCGTAATTAAATACCTAAAATCCCTGAGCTTCCGGGGGCTCAGCCCCTTGACACCCTGCCGAGGCTGGACCCCACGCCAATTTACGCTCTACCTGATCGTTAATACTTCACTTTGAAAAACGTTCCGCGGGACCTGCATGTAACGTGTAAGACTGGTGGTGATGCAGATTTTTCGTCTGCCCCCCCCCCCCTTCCGAACGTTTTTTCTCATTACGTCACTGCCCTCGGAAGGTGAGCCCCCTGGAATGTTTGCCCCCCCCCAATCCCAAACTGCTTCCGGCGCGCCTGTTTGAAGGTACAGTCATGGAAAGTGTAATCAACTATTCGACATACAGATATAAATAATGATGAATAAGCCTCCATACACTCGTTCGATGAAGGCCCTGCAAAAGGTACTTTACTTTTTGTTGGGTCTTTTTAGATAACTTAGTTTGTGGACACGACACATTATCAAGGTTTCTGAAAGTAGACATGAAAGAAATATTGACTGTTCCACAAACTTGACCATTTGTCTGTTATCGGCAGTGAATGCCTCGATACGTGCCTATATGGAGAGATTGTTCTTCTTCCCAAATTCCTGTCCAGATGGTCCAGTTTGCCAGACCTATTTCCTAAACTTACAGACAAAATACTAAAGATGTAGGTTCCGACAATCTTGTGAGCGTTTGTCGGTTTATCAGCGGAGAATGAATAACTGTTCGACTCTTTTGCCTAAAACTATTTTGCCAAGAAGTTCGAGTTTTGCAGGATATCCATGGTAAATTTGCATAAAATAAACAAGCTCGGAAGAAGTTTCCAATTCGATTAATCTTTGTGTTAATTAGCAGTGGAGAATGCATACGGGGCTACCGATGAAAATTGGCGTAATTCTGTTCGTATATATTTTATCCAGATCAAATTTGTTGAAGATGGCCAAGTTCGCCGTGCTCGTCGTGCTAGCCTTAGTCGTAGCAGTCAACGCTCAGAAACCATTATGTTCTCCTCCACAATTCATGGCTGGACTAGGTAAGTCTACGTGTACGTTGAACACGAGGCGTTTTTTTTTGCTGACGTAGGACTGAGCCAGTGACTTGCATTGGTTTGACGTGTCATGTGGGAGTGAAATCTTTTTTGTCCTGCATTTTTTTAAAATGTTGCCTAGTGAAAAATTAAAAAGGATTTGGATTTGGATTATTATTATTATTGGATGTGTAATTGGATTTGTGTTTTATATCTATATTTATATTTGAATTTAAATTTCCAGGATTCACGATTGGTCAGGTTGGACCTGATAAGGAACCCGTCGGTTTCACCTTCAACCAGTACGGTGCTTGGGACTTCGCTAACAGAAGACTTGGTCTCAACTTAGACATCCTCTATCCCAATGGAACCACCTACAACTTCCGTGTAATCCAGGACTACGCACAGGTACGTTGATGAGAGGAGCATCGCTTGGGGCGGGATGGGCGTAGAATTCCACCCCCATCCCATCCCAGCTCTCAGATTTAGAATATCAGTGGGTAAACCTGAATATTTGTCTAGAGCCTCGAGGTCTCTTACTAGGTCGCAAAAATGGTTGTTCCCTCTTTTTTCTTATTTCTTTCTTCCTTCCTTCTAGTTCTTTCTTCATCAGCTTTTTTTCCTTGCTTGCATTTTTAGCCGAAGAAATTGAGGCTAACTTGACCGAGAATTAAGTGCGAGACGCCAACCCCTCTCACCCGTCTATTACAAAGCTAGCAGTAGAAGTGCAAGCTCCATTAGATTTAACCTCACGTCATTACTCTCTCTCTCTCTCTTATTTTTATCATTATCATATTCTCTCTCTCTTTCTCTCTCTCTCTCTCTCTTTCTCTCTCTCTCTTTCCATTTCTCTGACCTACAGAGAACACAATGGACGATCTTTGACCAATTTAGGTTCTGTGCTAAGCAGGCAGCACCCACACCGGAGCCTACCAACTGTCTTCCTCGTAAGTGAACAATATCTATTTTTTTTTTTTTTTTTTACTTCGCCACATTCATTTCAAAATACGTTCGGGGAGGGGGTTCAGTTTAAAAGACGCATTATGTTTAGTAAAAATACACAATTGATTGAAATTACGATTTTAAAGTTCAGCTCCTTTCTAACGACTGGAACGTAAGCTTAAACCAGGGTTGCAGTTTGTCATCTTTTCTCCTTCTCCTCCTTTCTTGTCCCTTTGTTTTCTTTTATGTTCTTCTCCTTCTTCTACTTCTCCTTACTTCTATATTTATGTGAATTATAGGCATATTTCATGTATATGACGGAGTTTTTAAGCAGGCCTGATTCAAACTTTGAAGCTTGATCAAACCAAATCAAATCAAATCAAGTCATGCCAAGTCAAGTCACATCATGTCATATATCAAATCAAATGCTATCACATCTAATTAAATCAAATCGAATATTCAATCACCTCAACTCAAATTAGATCAAATCAAATCAAATTATATCATATCGTATCACATCAAATCACATCAAATCCTATTCGACCACTTGTTTCCAATCTCACCGACAGCCAATAGCACGGTGGCTTTCACCGGGTTCCTAGGAGGTGAGAAGGACCGTGTTTACTACGACCTCTACGCCATGAAGATGACCAGACAAGAATCCGGCAATCTTGAAGGTGATGCCACATTCAGCATCTGCAAGGAATCTAACATTCCTCTCTCAAACAACTTCATCGGAACTTACTTCGATAGTGATACCCCATGTAAGTAGTTCACTGAGACCTGTTGAATAAATACTTGCATTAAAAAAAAATATTGACGCAAGTCCCATATACGCGATCCTGATTGACTGAAATTCACGTTGCGGTTATTTATATCTTGAGTTGTGTTTAGACCCCCCTCCCCCCAACTCCGTGAAGGGAGGGATGCCATGCGTGTTCCCAAAACTCTCCGGCTCGTAACAAAAGAAAGAGGTCTACCCGTATTGAATTTACACACCGGACTTTTGCTGAAAGGGGGGGGGGGGGTGGGGGTCGCTTGGAACACGCATATCGTACCCTAAATAACACCGAGTGGGGGGGGGGGGGGGGTTAGACGTAAGTCTTCAAGCAATAGCAAAATATCTAGAAATACGTGGCACAGGTGACATCCCATGTTGTGCATTTTAGAATAATGACTGTCACAGCAAGGTGCTTCATGATTACCCCTCGTTTGCCGTCTTGAAAATAATACTTCCACATGTGTATCATAAGTTTACCGCCTTCTTAATTAGGACATATTATGATTTGATTTTGATGAATTATTTGTAGCGTATGGTATTGGATAAAATAACTTAAACTTAATCAATTAGAGATTAGTGTATTGGTTGTTGCCAAAGTGATTTTTTATTAGGGCTTCTTTTTATGTTATTTTTACTACATACAGATTCCCAGGTATCGACAGGAGGTTTTTACAACGTCGAGGTTGGAATCCCAGATCCCAAGAGATGGTTCGATCTACCAAGCTACTGTATGGAGGTATGACATCATCACCCCCCCCCCCGTAACACTTTCATGGCAGGAAGTTTTTTAGGGCTTAATTGATCACATTTTCTTCTTCAAATTGTCAATAATAAATTCCCTTATTTCGCTATATTATTATAGAAACTAGCAATGTCTCTGAAAAATACAATGGATGGTTGTGAGCTATGTTGAGAATGTAATCGAATTGGAAATTTCGTTCTGTAAACACAATAATTTTGAATCTCTTAATGTGTTGCCAATTGTTCAATATCTAAAGCTTTTCATGTTTTGTCTGTTATAGTTTTATGTCCTACCGTCAAATACAATGTGGCGATATCAGCCCTTTCTTAACATGTATCTAGTATACAATTTTTTAGGGCTCTTAATTAAACATTTACTAAGCCGAACCACAAAATGTTGTATACTTTATCTGACCTGAGTAAAGAGGGGCAAATAAAATACTTTATTAAGGGGCTATAAGGAGCAAAGATCAAACCAAGGACCTATCTTGTGAGAGCCAATGAGCCTTCACCAATATACCACGGAAGAATCATGGATGTTTTTTTTTTTAAATTTAATCTTGCACTAATTAAATGCTGTCTTAGTTTTCTCAAGAAGGGATACTGTAGAAGCGAATCATTTGATAATAAAGAGGGTGACGATACCAAAAATAACGATGTCGCTATTTAAACTAACCATTCTTTCTCTCTCTGTCTCTCTGTCTCTCTCTCTCTGTCTCTCTCTCTCTCTCTGTTTCTATGTCTCTCTCTCTCTCTCTCCCTCTCTCTCTCTCTTATCACAGGCTACTACTGACCTGAGCAAGCTGCCCAAACACATTCCTAACTGGACTCGCCTGCCCAACCCACGCTTCTTTTAATTATTCATATCAACAGCCGCCAGAGAAAATGTTATTAGCTGGAAATAACAAATTAAGTTATGTACACATGAATTTCTTCATTGGACTTCTTCAATGTTTGTAATTTTCTACTCCAAATGGAATGTATGTGACAGCTTCAATATATTCGTGTTACCTTCGTAAGTAAAAATATAAATATAAATTTTCACGATTTTATAAGTTTATTTTATTTAAATGTTATTGTAATTCAAATGTGTCTGTGATGACATCATGACTTTATTTATAGCATGATGACCGACCCTGATTAAAAGGATGTCGTTTTTTTTACATAAGAAATAAAATGGTATGGTGTTATTACTCTAGAATCCTGCGTATGATATATTTTTAAACTGTTGTAATGGGGTTGGGGATAAATTTGAAGGCAGTTCAATATCTCATGAAATGGGAGTGCTAAAACTTAACTTTGTATAACATTATGTATGTACATGTAGAAGAGGATTGTTTTAACAATGAGGTTTTGCTCCATCATTGTCCAAGTCGTATATCAGTGTGCGAGATTCATCCTGAAATTATATTATTGTAGATAAATAGAAATAACACACAAACAAAAGAAGATTGTGGGTGAGGGAGGAAGAGATTCAAAGTGAAAGAGAGTCATAGAGACATAGCGATATGAAGAGAGACAGGGGGAGAGATAGAGAGAAAGATAGAGAGAAAAAGAGAGAGATAGAGAAAGGGGGAGAGAAAAAGAAAGATGTAGAGAGGGAGAGAGAGAGAGGAGAAGACATGGGAAGATACGGGAAGACAAGGTGAGAAATCAGAGAAATGGTGCTGCAGGTACCTGGAGAGAGAGAGAGAAAAATGAATCGGAGAGAGAGATCCCCTCCCCCCCCCCCAAAAAAAAAGTTAACCTACATTGGAAACAATAAAAAAAAATAAACAGCAGATTAAGTGGCGTCTCTGGAAATGAAAACGGAGAGGGGTGGGGTTTGTCCTATGGAATTTAAAATCTGCATAGTCTGCATTAAATATCCATGAACGTTATTTTTGTATTGCTATGAAATCTGGCGGGGGGCCGGGGGGGGGGGGGGGGTTGGTTTCATTCTATGAAGAATACGCCCCCTGATGTAATAATTAACATGTATTTTTCTCCATTGGTTAGAAATGCATCAATCAACCACCACCAAAAATCTGTCCCGAAACTGTTTTCAGAAGTTTTATAATTAACATCAGTCGCATTGTCAACTCTACCCCAGAAATTTTCACTCACTTAGTTTTACGAAAAGCCCTTAAATATACTAAATAAAAGCATATTGGGCAATCATAAAGAGCATTATGCTAGTTTTATTTGTCATTACTATACACTCTGGTAATGGTTCATCTTTAAAGTGTATAAACAAGATCGGAAATGAATTAACTTTAAGAGAGGATTACTGGGATTGGATTAGATATCAAAATTGTTGTGGTTTGCTGGCAGGTGTAACAATGGTACCTATTATTACATCTCTTAACTTTTGTAACACCTAAAGGTACCTCAATTCGATTTAATTCAATTTTTAATTCAACATTTTGCCTGAAAATGATCATCGATACGACAGAAAGCTAAACACACGCTAGATGCACTGACTGTAGGGCGATTTCTTTTCAATTGTCTCTAGGAATATTTAATAAAATTGATTTTTGAATATGAAATTATAATATAGACCTTCAGCTATTTCAAATTTAAGAAAAAGATCAGATAATCTACACTATAATTCCCATAGATCTTTTTTAAAGTACCCGTCCCCCCTTTGTCGCACCTTCATTCGAATATGAAGATACTTCTGTTCATTTTGCCGTATTTCGTTATCACAAATTAAGGCATATGGAAAGAAATTCCTTTGGCACACGAGACCGACATTGTCGGTTTCTCGGGCCTTGTGACAACTTTCTAAGGGACCACTAGACCTACGGTACCCGAAGCCGACAGCCCATGAAACCGACATTTATCTATCTTCCATTATGCATTTCTTTGTTTTTCGGTCATGTGCATGGCCTACAAGTTTGCTGAACCTTTTGTAAGTGTTGGTCTCATGGGCTTTCAGTCTCGTTGGCTGTCGATCGGTCCCCTGGGAAGACTCCCCCCAAAAACCTCGTTATGACGCTTGGATATTTTGAGTTATTACATAACTAATCCAGGTTCCAAATTTAATTCTTTCCCTGGTACAAAATCCCTAACACGGTATATGTTTGATTTTCATCGAGCGGTTTATAACACATTGACAAGGAATTGGTGGCGAACCCTAGAAGCTTTGTTTGGGGAAAATAAACAAATACAACATGACTCATCTGAATCTGGTAATACATAAGAGGAAACCGAAGGAGTAGAAAGACCCCCCCCCCCCCACCCCCACCCCTATTGTTTGTGTGTGTGCATCGATAAGGTTAATAGGTTTTGAGCGCCCTGTCCATGCATCATAGTCTCCTCTGTTTAGAAATCAATACGAAATAGAGTTTCTTTGTTTAACGCTGAAGACATACAGTGAGGTACGTTTCTTATCGATTCATGCTATTTAGAATATCACATGTTTAGGTGATAAATAGACAACGTACACATTGCGATTACGTAACTCATCTTGGCAATATTGACATATTACTCACCCATGCAAGCTGTATTCTTCTAAACTTAGATGTGTTTTCATCAGGTTATTTCATCAGGCCTATTTTTAACTTAGCTTAGCTAAACATTAATTTTGAGGGGCTTGTTACAAATGCCGTATCGGTCCAAAAGCTCTACGATATGAATAAAAGCGTGATCGTCTAGGACTAGGTCTGATCATATATCTTTGAAAACCCCCAGGATCTAGCTTGTTTACTTTGCGGCAGGTAAGTTAGAGCAATGATTTCTTAATGAATTTATGATTTGATCACATTCTGTATTTTCTGATGTAGGAAGTAAGGAAAGTCAATCGTTATTAAAGAGTGGCAATTGCAATATTTAAGTAGTTTTGAGATTTTGGGCACAGACGGTTACAATAATATTCTATCGAGAATAGACTATATTTTTGAAGTTGGTTCCGACAATCTTCAGCGTTTGTCGGTTTATCAGCGAAAGATAAATAACGGTATAATATGTTAAAAGGACTGTTCTACTCTTTTTGCAGGATATCATTGGTAAAGTTGCATGAAAAAAATCTAGCCCTTGTTACGAATATATGCAAAATGAGATGTTGATTGATATGCAAATTCCAAGATGTGGCTCGAGATCGAGTTGAGAGCAATAAACGGATCAAAGGTAACCAAATCTTTATTTATCAAAATAATTCTGAGTTGTGGAAGGGCCAATATGAGTAGATTGCCCCGACCCGACAGATTGGGGGCTTGTCTCAAGAGCTAGATATAGTAACATATGCTGTTTTGTTACTTTTCCGATCCGAAATGCGTATTGTTTGGAGTTTACCTTTTGTCCCATTCATGGGTTTTGGTGTGGTTTTCGCACACATTTAATGACTGTGGAATGTCTGTGCTGTAGATCTAGTCATGGTATAACTCCGGGAAGCTCCAACACCGGCGCTGCGCGCCGGTGTTGGAGCTTCCCGGAGTTAGTCATGGTAGTGTAGCGTCCATAATAGGGTTAAGCCTACACACTACAGTTTGATTTTGTTTTGTACTGCATGATAGCTCGAGCCTTAGATGTCGTCTCATTGGTATGAAATTCACTGCACATCTGCTGCGGTTGTCTGGTATTCTGGTCCTGGTTTTGCCTGTTCTTGCATGGCAGTCGTTGAAGGAGTTAGTCGGTTTGACTTTTAACTTTGCCTCGGCTTCGTTTCTACTTCTAGGGTAATGACCTAGATTAGTTATTTGCATGCAATCTAGTTTGCTACACATCTGATGTAGTGTGGGACTGTGGGTACTGGAATTTCTGGAAATTATCCCATATTTCACGTGTGTTTGTGTGATATTAAGACTAGATCTATAAAGTGTAAGTGTAAGAGTTGATGAAATCTAACAAAAATTGACTTGAGTTGTGGAGGTGGAGTTTCAATATAACCCTCTGCTGCATGGCTACATGTATATCAATTTCACAGAAATGGTGATAGTTTGATGCTTAATCAATTTTGTTTTGCTTAGTCGGTTGGTCAATTTTTGCTGTTTCATCTGTTGTTGGACTAGATCTATACTCTGTGTTGATTCACATTCAACATTTTTCTTGGATTTTCTTTCCAGTCGTCAGAACAATTGACCTACTTTGTGAGACTTGTGTAACTTGCACAGACTAGATCTATACAATGGCTGACTTTGATGTTGACAAGTTTTTGAGTCAGGAATTGACCATTGGCCGGTTACGTCAGGTACGAAAGGTTGATTTAACAGCTGTAGGAACAAAGCTATCGGTAAATCTAACTGGTCACAAAAGCAAGGCAGAAATAATTGATGCAATTTCAGCCCATGCAGGACTGATCGCTGCGACGGCCGCGGCCCGAGCGGATGCGCCTACGAATAATGATAGTGGTGGTACTAATAACCAAGGTAAAGCTACCAGTGACGAGGTTGACCTTGATTTAGCTAAGATTGAGCTAGAGGAGAGAAGAGATAGAATAAAGGCTGCTGAGCATGAGAGAGAAATGGAACGAAAGAGGTTGGAATTTGAAATGATGCGTCATCATGAAATGACTTCTCATGGTAGTCAGTCTGGTGAGAGAGACAAGAGGTCGATAGAAGCTGGGTTCTCTGCTAGGGTTAAGCTTGTTCCTAGATATGATGAAAATGAGTTAGATTCATTCTTTCTTATGTTTGAGAGGGTTGCCAAGAGGATGGAGTGGCCAGAAGATGAATGGGCATTGCTCATCTAACAAGTAATTTCTGGTAAAGCTCAGTCGGTTGTGTCTGCACTGAGTTATGAGCAGGCATTTGATTATTGGACAATGAAGGATGCTATTCTTCATTCATTTGAGTTGATTCCAGAAGCCTACCGTCAGAGGTTTCGCAATCTAGGAGAGAAACTGGAGAGACTTGTGTAGAGTTTGCTTGGAAAAAAGAAGTTTCCTTCGATCAGTGGATCAGATCTTTGAAAATAGATGCCACATATGATTCTCTTAGAGAGGTTATGCTCATTGATGAGCTTAAAAGATGTATGTCTCAAGAGGTTAGGACATATGTCAATGATAATGTAGTTGGTGATGTGAGAAAGGCTGCCATGTTGGCAGATGGATACGAATTGACACATAAAGGGAGTAGTTCACCACTTACTAGGCGTAGGACTCAATCTAGGTCACCTACGACTCAGAGGAAGTCAGGTAACACCGGCACTAATCAGAGTAGTGGTTTTGGAACTGAAGGCAGACTTCTCTGTGCCTACTGTAAGAAAGAGGGCCACCTTAAGATGCAATGTCCAAGACTAAAAGTAAAAGTAAAAAATCTTGAACAAGAAATTACACAGCCTAGTGGCTTTGTACGCATAGCAGCAGTCGACATGCAAAAACATGTAATGAACGATCACAATGAAACAAAAAGAAGTGATCAAGTAAGAGATGTTAGACGTGAGATTGATGAAGGATTTCTAGATTTTGTTTCTTATGGCACGGTTAGGTTCAGTGTTGATGATAAGGAGTGTCCTATCACGATATTAAGGGACACTGGTTCTATGAAAACGTTGCTTATTGCTGATGAGTCGTCCTTGGACACAAAGAATTTCACTGGCAAGAAAGTTTTGATTCAGGATGTGAATGATGGTTTGAAACCGGTTTCATTATATACTATCAAGCTTAGCAGTGGATTCGTTTCTGGACCAGTGACTGTTGGCATTGTTACTAAGTTGCCAATGAGGGGAATTTCGATGTTGCTTGGCAATGATTTAGCCGGAAGTAAAGTGTCGCCATCGCCAGTTGTGTGCGACACTCCTGTGGTGAATTTTGAGGCAGAGAAATTGGAAAGTGAACTTCCTGGTTTTTCCCCTTCGTGTGTAGTTACTAGAGCCCAAGCTATGAAAAAGGAAGAAGATGACAAGGATGGTGACGTCAATTTGGGTGACACTTTTTCCAGAACGTTGGAGGAGGGCCAAGATGACCAGAGTCCTGCTATGACTATCTTCAGTCAGCTTGCCTTGATTGAGGCTCAGAAAGCAGCAGAGGACTTGAAGAAGTTGTGTGATGTTGCTCTACCAGCAGGAGAAGCTGAAAAAGTGTCGCAGTGTTATTCCACAAAATGTGGTGTGCTGATGTCAAAACCAGTGCTGGACGCTCCAAACTTCCAGAATCCTTTTCAGCTTGCCGCTGACACCAGTGATCTAGGGGTTGGTGCTGTTCTCCTACAGATTGATGACATGGGTCTTTTGAAACCCACCAGCTACTTTTCCAAGAAGCTCAATCCCCACCAGCGAAGATGTTCTACTATAGAGAAGGAGTGCTTCGGTCTCGTCTTGCCATTTCAGCGCTTCGACAGGTACCTGAGCAACTCTTCAGAGGTGACTGTATTTACAGATCATAACCCATTGACTTTTCTTGAGCGCTTCAGTAATGAAAACCAGAGACTGTTTCGTCGGAGCGTGTTTCTCCAGCCTTATGGACTGAAAGTGGCTCATATCGACGGAAAGGACAATATAATCGCAGCCAAACTTTCTAGAGCTTAAGCAAGCCTACCAGAACATTCAACAAATTGTGAAGAAACTAGAACTTTAATATTTTTTCTTTATTCGTCACCAGGAAGCTACACAATATTTATTGCTTTGTATTTGTACATGTACTTACATGCTGTGAACTGATGGATCAGACAGTTCAATAATTTTGAACAGTGATATAAATGATCATGTATGAACATTTCACCTATTTACAGGGAGACGTTAGTATGGACAGTGGACTATATTTTGTGCAAAATGTGCACTATTTGTCATTGTTTTCTTACCTGTACCTACATGAATAATAATTTCATGTCTTTTCTTGATTCTGTTTGTACGTTATTCAGAATAGTTTTCTTTTGATCAAAAGAGAACAGTTATTGTTTATACGCAGCACTGTTAGCTATGCTATGCAAAGCTTGATGCATTTTCCATTTTATACAACAACAAAATAATTATGATAATAATTTGCATAAAAGGCAACTGTTATCAAAATTACAGGTGTAAAACCAATTGAAAACATAACAAAAATGTAACATCACAACTTGCGTAATGTTGTTTCACAGATTTCAAAGATTATTGACTGCCAGTATTGCATATGTATGTGTTTGTGATTTAACTTGATAAGTCTTGCTTATTTGTTTGTATTTAAACAAGTTTCAATTTATAGCTTGCAGCAGTAACTCAACAGATTATGTTACTCATGTAATATGTACACAAAATATGTACATGTATGTACCCTTATTCTTACATTTAATGTCAGAAATATTTCAAATCGAGCTGTGCACAGTTATGCGGATCATTATAACATATTGCTTTTGTTGACCGACATATTTAATGAGACTCTGCATGCATTCCGACATAGTAATGAGGTGTCGTCATAGCAACGCGTCATGTGACTAGGTTGTGCGCGTTCATTATTCATATAATTGATTGCATATTCATATATGCAATCACCTGTTATTGTAGTTGTGCGTATTTAGGATATCGGCGCCTGTGCTGAATATTCAGTGTTTCATTTGTCGCGCGTGCTTATTACGCTCATATATTCATGTATTCATATATTCATTATGTGTGATGTGTAGAGACGTGTTTCGACCACCACAGTTTGTGGTTCTTTACAAAAGACAGGCATTGTGTCTGATTAATGTCCTGGTACTTACTTCCAGGATTCAGGAAGAGAACATACATGTATAATGTTATCTATCGAAGTTGTTTTCATTTTTCTGCAGTTTGTGTTTTGTTATTGAATGTTGAAATGAAAGGACTAATCGGTCTGTCTTTGATATTAGAAAAAATGATGTTCATATGCCAGCTTGTTCTACCTTTTGTGTGGTTAATTTCTCGCCTTTAGATCTTACTATTGTTCAGAAGAAAGTTCTAACTACTGATAGAAACTTTCTTTTATGGGGGAGATATGTTACGAATATACAAATGAGATGTTGATTAATATGCTAATTCCAAGATGTGGCTCGAGTTGAGAGTAATAAACGGATCAAAGGTAACCAAATCATCTTGATTGTTCTTTATTTATCAAAATAATTCTGAGTTGTGGAAGGGCCAATGTGAGTAGATTGCCCCGACCCAACAAATTATAATATACAGCTTCAGCTATTTCAAAATTTAAGAAAAAGATCAGATAATCTACACTATAATTCCCATAGATCGTTTTTAAAGTACCCATCCCCCCTTTGCCGCATCTTCATTTGAATATGAAGATACTTCTGTTCCTTTTGCCGTATTTCGTTATCACAAATTAAGGCATATGGAAAGAAATGCCTTTGGCACACGAGACCGACATTGTCGGTTTCTCGGGCCTTGTGACAACTTTCTAAGGGATCACTAGACCTACGGTCCCCGAAGCCGACAGCCCATGAAACCGACATTTATCTATCTTCCATTATGCATTTCTTTGTTTTTCGGTCATGTGCATGGCCTACAAGTTTGCTGAACCTTTTGTAAGTGTTGGTCTCATGGGCTTTCAGTCTCGTTGGCTGTCGATCGGTCCACTGGGAAGACTCCCCAAAAAGGCCTCGTTATGACGCTTGGATATTTTGAGTTATTACATAACTAATCCAGGTTCCAAATTTAATTCTTTCCCTGGTACAAAATCCCTAACACGGTATGTTTGATTTTCATCGAACGGTTTTTTAAAAAAATAACACATTGACAAATTGATATTCTACAATTAATGCCACTTAGGTAAATATGATCTTTGGAATTGGTGGCGAACCCTAGAAGCTTTGTTTGGGGAAAATAAACAAATACAACAAGACTCATCTGAATCTGATGATACATAAGAGGAAACCGAAGGAGTAGAAAGACCCCCCCCCCACCCCCACCCTATTGTTTGTGTGTGTGCATCGATAAAGTAAATAGGTTTTGAGCGCCCTGTCCATGCATCAGTCCCCTCTGTTTAGAAATCACACTTACGAAATAGAGTTTCTTTGTTTAACGCTGAAGACATACAGTGAGGTACGTTTCTTATCGATTCATGCTATTTAGAATATCACATGTTTAGGTGATAAATAGACAACGTACACATTGCGATTACGTAACTCATCTTGGCAATATTGACATATTACTCACCCATGCAAGCTGTATTCTTCTAAATTTAGATGTGTTTTCATCAGGATATTTCATCAGGCCTATTTTTAACTTAGCTTAGCTAAACATTTTAGGGGCTTGTTACAAACGCCGTATCGGTCCAAAAGCTCTACGATATGAATAAAAGCGTGATCGTCTAGGTCTGATCATATATCTTTGAAAACCCTCAGGATCTTTTTTACTTTGCGGCAGGTAAGTTAGAGCAATGATTTCTTTATGAATTTATGATTTGATCACATTCTGTATTTTCTGATGTAGGAAGTAAGGAAAGTCAATCGTTATTAAAGCGTGGCAATTGCAATATTTAAGTAGTTTTGAGATTTGGGGCACAGACGGTTACAATAATATTCTATCGAGAATATATTTTGAAGTTGGTTCCGACAATCTTGAGCGTTTGTCGGTTTATCAGCGAAAGATAAATAACGGTATAATATGTTAAAAGGACTGTTCTACTCTTTTTGCAGGATATCATTGGTAAATTTGCATGAAATAAACCTAGCCCTGAAGAAGTTCCCAATTCCATTTGTCTTTTTGTTGATTAGCAGCGGAGAATGCATGCGGGCCTACCGATGTTAATTGATGTAATTCTGTTCGCACTTCTTTTCTCCAGATCAAATTTGTAGAAGATGGCCAGGTTCGCCGTGCTCGTCGTGCTAGCCGTAGTCGTAGCGGTCAACGCTCAGAAGCCAATATGTTCCCCTCCTCAATTCATGGGTGGATTAGGTAAGTATACGTACGTTGAACACGAGGCGTCGTTTTTAGGACGCAGGGCTGCGTCAGTGACTATTTTGACGTGTCGTGTGAGAGTGAAATCGTTACCGAAGTTTAAAGGCCGTCAGGACTAGTTTGGCTAGGAGGGATAAGAACACCCAGGGTGGTCACTGACAGGTGGCTATCTCATCAACTCAGCTCTCAATTAACATAAGAAAAAGAGGATCATGGGGGACCAATGGTCGCCGATTACGCATTGTTTCTATATAGAGGGAGCAAGTAGCTACAAGTAGTACAGTGGGGCTTAAAGCAAAAAATAACCAATTCGGACGTTACGTTCAAAATTACTAGTGCATGGCGATTTTTGTTTGCTTTCACTTGTTTGACTACTTGTTTGAATTGGATACGGGTTTGAGTTTGAGTTTGGATTTGGATTTGGATTTGGATTTGAATTTGGGTTTGGATTCGGATTTAGATTGAATTTAAATTCGAAATTGAATTTTATAGTTATATTTGAATTTGAATTTCCAGGATTCACGGTCGGTCAATCTGCACCTGATAAAGAACCCGTAGGTTACACCTTAAACGAGTATGGGGCTTGGGACTTCACTAACAGGAAACTTGGTCTCAACTTTGAAATCTTCTATCCCAATGGAACCACCTACAGCTTCCGTGTAATCCAGGACTATGCACAGGTACGTTGATGACAGGAGCATCGCTTGGGGCGGGGTGGGCGTAGGATTCCATCCCTCCATCTCATCCCAGTCCCCATCCCTCCATCTCATCCCAGTCCCCAGGTTTAGAATTTCAGTAGGTAAATCTGATTTTTTTTTTCCTTCTTTTTTCTAGAGCCTTTTCGAAGTCTGTAAGGTCGTAAAAATGGTTGCTCCCTCTTTTTTTTCTCTGCTTCCTCCTTCTTTCCTTCCTTTCTTTTTTTATTTTCTTTATCTCCTTTTCCTTGCTTGCGGAAAATTGGCGGCTAACTTGAGTGGAAATCAGGTAGGAGACCCCCATCCTAACCTTCCCCGCCCATTTTAAAGCTCAGGAGTAGTAGAGGTGCAAGCTCCTTAGATTTGACCACATCCAAATACTCTCTCCATCTTATTTACATTATTCTCATATTCTCTCCTTCTCTCTTTTTTTTCTTTCTCTCTCTCTCTCTCTCTCTCTCTTTCTCTTTCCTCTCTCTCTCTCTCTTTCCATTTCTCCGACCTACAGAGAACACAATGGACGATCTTTGACCAATTGAGGTTCTGTGCTAAGCAGCCAACGCCCACAGCGGAGCCTTCCAACTGTCTTCCTCGTAAGTGAACTTTTTTTTTAAAACTTCACCTCACTCATTTCAAATACATCTTTTTCAGTTTAAAATAGGCATTCTGTGTGAAAGGATACACGAGTGTTTGAAATTACAATTTAAAAGTACAGCTAATTTCTAACGGCTGGAATGTCGTTGACACGTATGCTTAAACCAGTGTTACACTTTTTCTTTTCTCCTCCTTTCTTGTTCTTTTGTTTTCTTTCTTCTTCTTCTCCTTCTTCTACTTCTCCATGTATTTAAAATAAAAATTATGTTGGAGTTTTTAAGCAGGCCAACTTTGCATCATAATCAAACCAAATCAAATCAAATCAAGTCCTGCCAAATCGATGTCAAATTAAGTCAAATCAAATCAAATCATATAACTTCATATATCATATCAAATTGCTAAGACATCAACTCAAACCAAATCAGGTATCAAACCAAATCAAATTAAATCGAATATCCAATCAATTTAACTCAAACTAAATTAAATCAAATCAAATCAAACTGTATTATATCATATCAAATCAAATCAAATCATACTAAATCACATCAAATCCAATTCAACCCCTTGTTTCCAATCTCACCGACAGCCAATAGCACGGTGGCTTTCACCGGGTTCTTAGGGGGTGAGAAGGACCGTGTTTACTACGACCTCTACGCCATGAAGCTGACTAGAGGAGAATCCAGTGATCTCGAAGGTGATTTAACAGTCACCGTCGCTAAGGAATCCAACATTCCTCTCTCAACCAACTTCATCGGAACTACTTACTTCGACGGTGATACCCCATGTAAGTAGTTCACTACCGAAGGTAACATAAGGACCTCCTGCATAAATATTTGCATTTAAAAACTTGTTTTATTTTTTATTGAAGCAAGTCCCATATACGCGATTGTGATCGGCTGTGAATCACATTGCGGTTATTCTCTTGAGTTGGGTTTAGATGAAGTCTTAATGCAATAGGCCCCTGATTACTTTATAGCAACATGACTTGTTATCCATGTTAACTGGATCGAATTTTATGACAAGAAACTATGGCGATTTCCAAACGTTCTGAATCGTACATTTCGCGCCATGAATCTTCGCGACCTGTACCACTCGTGAAAATCGAGAAAGCTTCACACGCGCGAAATTTCTGGTTGTGATAGTGTAGCAGAATGAATGTGGATGTAAGCATTGAAGTCGGGGTAGGGCAAGTAGTTGAGCTAATAAGCTACTTCGGAGATGGCACATGTACAAATGACCCCAACATATCTAAAAACCTGTGACGCAGGTGACATCCCATTTTGTGCATTTTGAAATAATCACTTTCACAGTAATGGAGGTGCTTCATGAAAACCTTTTGTTTTCCCCCTTGCAAAGAAATACTTCCACGTATATATCACAAAATTTCTTAATTAGTAATTTTTCATGATATCATTTTATTTTGATGAATTATTTGTTGCGCAGTTGTATTCAAAGAACTTAATTAGGCCTGATTAATTGAAATATTAGTTGTTGCCAAGAGGATTTCACTGTGGCTTCATTTTTGGTTATTTTACTACATGCAGATTCCCAGGTATCGACAGGAGGTTATTACAACGTCGAGGTTGGAATCCCAGATCCCAAGAGATGGTTTGATCTACCAAGCTACTGCATGGAGGTATGACACAATAACCTCCCTATAACCCTTCCATGGCAGGAATAAGGGCTAAATTGATCAAATTGTTTCATCTTTCATGTGTCAATAATAATAAGTAGTAATGTCTCTGAAATCACAATGCACGGTTGTGAGCTATGTTAAAAATGTAATCAAATTGCCAATTTCGTTCAGAAAACACAGTGACTACAAATAATGATAATAATCTGGATTTAAGTAGCGCTTAATACGGAGTACCGTCTCTAAGCGCTTTACAGATATTGTTATCCCGGTCATCGGATTCATTCACGCACAACACCATCTCCACTCCCTGCCAAATTTTCAATATCGAAAGCTTGTCAAGCTTTTTTTCTTTTATAATTAAATGTCCTACCGTCAAACGCAATGTGGCCATGCAACAAAATGTATATCTATCCTTTCTAAGTATACTATCTTTGTAGGGCTCTCAATTCAAAGCTTACTGAGCCAAACAACAAAATGTTGTATACTTTATCTGACCTGAGTGAAGTGGGGAAAATAAATACTTTATCAAGGGGTTAAGGAGCTAGGATCGAACCAAGGACCTATCGAGTGTCAGCCAATGAGCCTTCACCTATATACCACGGAGGAATCATGGATGTTTTTTTTTTAAATTTAATCTTGCACTAATTAAATGCTGTCTTAGTTTTCTCAAGGAGCGATACTGTAGAAGCGAATCATTTGATCATAGAGAGGGTGACGATACCAAAAATAATTATGTTGCTATTTCGACTACCCCTTCTCTCTCTCTCTCTCTCTCTCTCTCTCATCACAGGCTACTACTGACCTGGGCAAGCTGCCCAAACACATTCCTAACTGGACTCGCCTGCCCAACCGGCCACGCTTCTTTTAATTATCCGTATCAACAGCCGCCAGAGAAAATGTTATTAGCTGGAAATAACAAATAAAGATATGTACACATAAAGCTCTTCATTAGAGTTCTTTATGTGTTATAATTTTCTACCCCCATAGTAACATATATGACAACGTTAATATATTCGTTTAATTCTTTACCTTCGTAAGTATAAATAAATAAATCTAGAGTGATATTTTGTTCACGGTTTTTATGAATCTTTTTTTATAATTTGTACAAATGTGATTGTTTTTCAAATGTGTCTGTGATGACACCATGACTTTATTTATAACATGATGACCGACCCTGATTAAAAGGATGTCTCTTTCTTCCATAAAACATACATTTGTTTATTGTTATTACTTTAGAATTCTGCGTATGATATATTTTGAAACTTTTGTATAAGGAGGTTGGGGGATAGATTTGAAGGCAGCTCATTATCTCTTGAAACGGGATTGCTAAAGCTTAACTAATGTATGTATAACATTGTGTGTATGTAGAAGAGCTAGGTTGCTTTAACATTGAGGTTTTTTTTTCATCATTGTCCATGTCGTGTTTCAGTGTGCGAGATTCATCCTGAAATTATAACTGCAGATAAATAGAAATACTACATTAAGAAAAGAAGATTGCGGGTGAGGGCGGAAGAGATTCAAAGTGAAAGAGAGACAGAGGGACTTAGAGATAGAGAGAGAGGGCAGAGAGAGAAAGAGGAAGAGAGAGAGAGAGAGGGGAAGACATGGGAAGACACGGTGATAAATGAGAGAAATGGTGATGCAGATAGCTGGAGAGAGAGAGAAACAAATAAATCGGAAAAAGAGATGGCCCTTCCCCCCCCCCCCCCCGTCAAAAAAAAAAACTTAAACCAAAATTCATAAAAGAACGTTGGAAAGAAAATATGAAAAATTAATTTCTGGTTACGTGTACACTTTCAACCAATCATTTGACTAGGATTTAGTCATCATCTTACAGTATTGCATTTCATTAATTAATTAATTTTACAAAAGTGGTCAATGCCTTTCATGAACATGCATCAAGAACATGCATCCTTATAATGTATTTTGTGAAACAAAAAGACAAGAAGAAGATAAAACACCATGCAATATATCACACACACTTACTACAACATGCACAATGACGAACATAACAATAAAAACAACACCAACGACAACAGAAATTACAGTATCTCATGAATATGTTGTCAAGACTGTTTTATTGACATGTATTCGGAGAGCCAATTTGTTATGAATTCATGGCTTATCATATTTCAGGTAGTACTCAAACATTGATTTAAAACGATAAGTTTATTTTGAACCCTTTATCTTGTAAACCTTTAGACTAGTCCTGTACCAACTCGGTATTTCAATGTAAACACATTACTAACAAAGATATATTGGCAGGGCTAATCTCTTTGAAAACCTTAATTTACATGTTGGATGGATGGGCCATCACGTTGTCAGTATTGTCGTGAATTTTCTACTAGATATGACAAACAAATAAAGATTTGGTCTGATATACGCAGGTATCAAATAATATATGAAACAAGCTCATTACTTGATGTTCATCACCAGTTCCGAATAATTCTGTAATATATATATATATATATTACATTAGTTATGTCCTTCGATAAGTCGTCGATCCTTTTTTTTTGCGTTTCCACTTTAATACGTTCATCAATAATTTTTCAAATTTTCAAACTTGTAGGTCGATCTGTTTTAAGGAGAGGCGCCGATATACAACTTGTAGATTATCTGATGACGTTGGGACATTGTCCTAATGTTATTTTATGTAGTCTTTGAATGAAACAATGTTCGATATGTTTTTTTTTCTTCAGAATGGATCCGCTAATTATAGTTTGATGGGTAAATATTAATGTAATAATCATTCGTATTTAGTTATCATACCATGGGAAATAGTGAGTTTGCAGGTCATATGGACAGAAACGGGAATAAGAGAATTATAATGTTGAGAAAATAGAGGATTTAAGCATCACAGGTGGGATGTTAGTGACAACCTTATTGCATTCATGACCAGTTATTTAGACCAACACGCGAAAAGAATTATCTTTACAAATGTTGGAAGTCCATAAGGAAGAGGCCTGAACTCTTCTAAATTATGTAGAGTTAGAGTTCAGTCGCTGTGGGAAAAAGCGATAACACTGCAGAGCGCCATCTCTTGATTGATACATGTATGATGTAGCTTCAGATATCAGTGGTTCAAATATTATATGGCACGGAGTGTCAAATATGATGATCATAAACTTTGTGCAGTCCATGTTGCTTTCATGTTTGTATACCTTTGATTTCCGATGATTATAATTTGTGGGCAATTGGACTCCTCTCCCCTTTCGAAGACACCGCCCCTGATTGATGAACGTTCGGGGCCTCATTCTGACTTGTTTCAATGTTTGTTTTATATTTTAAGGATCGTAAGGTGTTGGGGGGGGGGGGGGGGGAGGGGGTAACTTTAACAATTCTTTGACATATTTTCAATTCACTTTGGGGCTACATTTGCTTCTGCGATGCACGAATGGGGATACATTTCAATTGTATACTCGATACGTACTAGATTTGGTTTTGAGATGGGACTTTTTCCGCATGTCCCCTCCTTTGGTTCCACCCATGAAAGCCTACAAGATATCATAATCTAGTACCGAAAGTTAATATGCCTTAGATTTACAGCGTATTTTTGAGGACATACAAATCCCAAACCCTTTACTGTGTGGTTTTTATTTCCCAATATATATTTTAAATTGAAATCGAAACTGTAGACATTTATATGATTTTCTTTAAACCTCTACCCCCCCCCCTTGTTCCGTCACTCTTTAATACTTCCTCGCACCAGGGAGATCTGAGTTTAAATTGTGGCTATCTACTTTAGAAGAAGAAGAAAAAAAAACCGCTCATAGTCCTGATGGCCCCGTATGAAAAGATACACGAAGTTAATCCATCATATAATGAAATAAATTGGGTTTCTTTGATCGAAGTTTTGCTCAAGCCTCATTCACATCACCCAGACCGAGCCCAAACCGAACGAATTTAGTTGTACTAGGCAATGTAATATCTTGTTGTAAGTCGGGTGTCTGTCTTGTTGGTGTGACTGTGTCACAGTGTCTGTCAGACGCCCTCATGGTTTATAAACAAGTCTACCCACCGGCCTAGCGGCTATTGAACCACATATTCAATCAAAAACATTGCTTTTTTATATTGGCAAAAATGTCAGAAGCAGTTTCCCAGATGGTGCCATGGTGATGAAAGTCAATAGAACGTTAAGCATTCCTCATAAGTCAGGTATAACCTTTGACACGTTGTTTGTCCTAGTTTGAAAGGTTGAGGGATGAGAACTGGCGGATCCCGGGTAGCGGAGGAGGGGGGGGGGGGGGGGGGGGGGGGTGTCCAACTTTCATAGCAAACAATTATAATGCCCTTAACATTGGCATTTGCACACCACAGATGCAATCTTTGGCGCGCTATGAGAAAATGACTTACTACAAAAAGTAAATACCAAATGAAAAGTGCAATTAATACGTCAATTATAAAACTAACTCTAATCCCTGGTTGGCTTCATAGGCTTGAGTGGTGCAGGTGATAACGCAATCAAAATAAAGCCTTGTGTGAAAGGGGCACAGGGTTTTTGCTTTAATGGCCTTTAATGAAATGTACGTTTAAGTTTGGCGTTTAACATACACCCACCAGCACCCCGCCCCTATCACTTGTAGAATTCTGCGTATGCGTTTAATCGGATGCGTAGTAATAATTATATTATTAATAAACATCTGGATTTACATTGCAGAGATGCACGTCATTTGTATAATTATTACTACGTAATGGACATTAAGTTACATTATTTTACGTACGCAATGTGTGCACCGTCTCTACTTACTAGGGAATATTCGCACCATCCATACTCATCTCCAAGGGCCTCGCTATATCATTTTGAATAGGGCTGTCGGATCAATTTGCCTACAAGTTTGCCCATATATTACAAACAAGCATCCGCCCCTCCTGAAAGAAGAAAGAATGAAAAACGTTTAACATAATATGTATAAACTTGAAAAATACAAAAAGTTGACAGAATTTTTAATGGGTGGGGTATATGTCTGACATATCCCATTCTTTCCTCCTTAGCAAACTCCCCTATGGTAGCCGCCAAGACAAAAGTTAATTTTGATCACATTGGATTTTGTCTTAAGCCTACCCCAATATGCCATGAGCTATATTTTGATCGATTTTGGAGGAAGATCGGAAGGAGAGCTGTTCGCAAAGATGTAGAAACTAAGGAGACACGACATGTGTGATTTTTCTTGTTTTTGTTTGAATGTGACGTCATTGCGAGACATTCTCAGATGTCTGTTTGGCAAAGAGTCTGTCCATATGTGACCAGACTGGCCCGTTATCCTATCCAATTGATGAAATAATATTATGTGAACAGGAAACAGCCTTCAAGAGGGTGTTGATATATTGAATCTGATAACGATGCTCTGGCAGAAATACCTCGTTCACATTCTAAATTTAGTCCAGGTATGTCCAACAATGAGCCCCAAAAGTACACTTTTATGCCATGTAGAATGTCTCAGATTATCGTGAATGTAGACCCCTTCATAAAATAAATGAATGAATAATGAATAATTCGAAGCACAATCTCGATTGAGAACTGCTTCACCTCCTTTTCCTTTCATTCTTTCTCTTTTTGCTTAGTTCTTATACAAAAAGATGCAATGTAAAAGATAAGAAAGAGAGCGAGAGGGAGAAAGAGAGAGAGAGAGAGAGAGGGGGTGGGGTAGAGAGAGAGGGAGAGAGACAGGGTAGGGTAGACAGAGAAGTACAGAGAGATAGAAAGAGAGAGAGAGAGAGAGAGAGAGATGATGTAATGCCGTAGGTTTGGGGTTTTCAGTCTTGAATTGATGTTTGCTGTATAATTGCTTGTAATACGAATTTCACCATTGACAGAGATAATGACGTCATCGGCAAAGACAATGCATGCAAAATATGAGTCGCAAATATCCATTCATTCGTTTGCTAAGTAGGTCCAAGGTTTATTAACGTGGATATGACTGGCAGTCAGTGACCGAATAGTGTACAAATTACAAGGAAGTGATTACCAAATGAAATTAGAGAAAACAGATTGAGCAACATCCAAATCAAGAGCTGCGTCAGATGGTCATGCCATGATGTCATGAAATAAAGGACGAGCGAACTGTGACATAAACCATCTTTTAAAAGTTTCGATGAACTTTGGGAAGTCTGCTTCAGTTCATACTTATCGTTATGTCTGATCCGTTTCGACCAAGCGTGAAATAACATATTGACTTCATCTGAGATTTTTTTTCCGATGATATCTTAAAGT